CTTATTTTAAGAGAGAGAGCATTTGGGGGACAGGGCCAGGTAAGAGAGAAAGAGAATCCCAGGGAGGTTCCATGCTTAGTGCAGAGCCCAGCATGGGGCTTAGTCTCACAACCAAGAGATCATGATCTGAGCCTAAATCCAGAGTCAGACGCTTAATCAACTGAGCCACTGATGAACATTTTATTTAGTCATTGTTCCCATTTGTCTGTTGCCTTTGATGAATTTCAAAAGTGGAGTTGGTGTGTCAAAGAATGCCTTCTTAATGGAAAAGAAATCAAGTCATGCTTGGTTTTTAATATGCTTTTAAAAATCCAGGTAACCTCACCAACATATAATGCAGGATGTAACAGGGAATCAACATTATTCCTGCCAACTGCTTGCCCTAATAACGATAAATGAAAACTCTTCTACCTGCTTCCAGGATTTTGTCTGTTTGTCACTGACTATGGTTATTATATGAAACACAGGCCTCTAGAAGCCATATTATTGTTGTGTTTTTCTGAGTTTTTAGTTTGAGAAGCTGTCTGATAATATGGGGAAGGAAATGATAGCTGAGAATTTATTTTTAGAGCTAAATTTGGTCTGTAAATTAAAATGGGGGAGTGTGTCATGGTCGGCTCCTTAATTTCTGGCTGCAGCTCTGTCATCTGCCAGCTGTGTTAAGAAGAGAGTCATCTATGGTCTATTTTTAAATTTCCTCACATGTAAAATTAAAATAATATTAAATCTTCATCTATTAAAGATGTATTTCAGTAATTGGATAATACCTAAAAATGTTTTGTACTTAGAGGAGAAAGAATCTCTTCAAATCAAAAATGTGTGTCACCAGTTAGCTCAGTTCCTCTTGTCAACCATATTTCTAGATTACTAGAATTAAAAGATTTTTTTTTTAATTTTTAATAGCCCATTCTAGTAAAGATGGAATAATCAAAGAATACTTAAGTCAGAGTCCTGAAATTTGACTCCCTCATGTAATTTATACCACAACTAAGAGCAAATCATTTGTTTCTTGAATCTCATTAATGTAATAGTATCTATCCCTGTCTCAAAATTTTGAGGAGCTAATAAGCATAAGCATAATAATAAGCATGTGATTGTGGATATACTTTGAGAAGTATAAAACATTATATAAATACAAGGTGGCATCACATATTGAATCACTTTATTTGACCAGGAGAGGTGAAATGTCAGCAAGGTAATAGAAAAGTATAGGCTTAAATAATGCAGAAATTGCTCTTTCAAAACCTGGCTTTCATAATTTCTTGATACTGTTTGTGGGTGTATTTGATCCTCTCACAATTTTTTAGTTAACTCAAAAATTGTTACTAATCGACTCTAAATTGATAGTAATATTTGTATAGGGAAGTGTGTTTAATGTTCCAACTTGGGATCCCACCCTATGAAGAAAATGTATTTCTTCCTGGTATGGAAAATGGAGAAACTCTTCAAATGTAAGCTAGCATCCACCTGCCTGTCCCTTACCTCAACTGCTTGCCTTTTATTGAATGTCTCTGAGCTTTTGTCCATTTTGGACGCTGTGTTTTCTCTGCCTGGATTTTTTTTTTTTCCTCTCTCTCTTTTGCCTTGCTAAATCCCTATTGATCCTGAAAGTCTTAGTTTAGATTTTACTTTCTTTGGATATAGTTCTCTATCCTCCTTAGACAGTCTTTCACTAATTGAGGAGACATGCTTGTCAAGCCCAAACATGATTGTATACTGAGATATCTCTCTTCTACTAGCTAAGTTGCTTCATAGCAGAGTCTGTCTCATCCACTTTTAACAATTCTGAGTAATAGGAGTAGTATCTGGTGTCTACTAGATGCTCTGAAAAGTGTTGAAAGAATGACACCGATAAAAAAAATTCTTAGCCAGTACTCTTTTATCTTTTAGATAAAGAAATCACAGAAGCCATCTCTGATAAGTTGAGACTTAAAGGAATTTCAGAAGCCATCCATTTGGCAATTTAGGAACCTTAAGGAAAGGTAGTGTGGCTAGGATAAAGGATGGGTAGGGAGAAGTCAGAGAGAAACAAGGCCTTGTAAGTCAGTGATAATTTTAACCTGAGTTTGAAGGGGATTTATTGGGGAGTGATTTGACCTAATTTGCCATCTACAAAGTAATACTGCTTTGTTGGGAATGGCATTGGTCCCTTTTGTGGTTGGGAGAAAGTAGGCATTAAGTGGTAGAGGCACAATAAAAGTTACTGCAATCAAGATGTATTTCATAGGAACTTTTGTTTAACCTTAGTTTAGAAATATTTCCTGCTGTGATAGTAATGTAGTCTGTTGAACATGGTTTTTTCTTTCCTTTTTTTTTTTTTTTTTTTTTTTTTTGGAATTAGTTTGTACTGTTAAAGTTCAGGTGTGTAAATGCAGAAGATAATTAAAACCTGTGCACAATTCTTTTCCTGTCATTTGCATGTGTTCCCGTATTTCTGGTATTGGTGCTAGACACCTCTGTTAATTTAGCAAACGGGATCAATTTTCTTGTAATTGAGATGTTAAATTCTAGTTTGCGAATATGTGTATATTTAACCTTTGAATAAAATTCTACTTACTAAAGTTATAAATATCTAAGGTGATATCAGGATGAGTACAGCATTAAGGGACATCAATGGCAATGTTTTCTATAGTTCTGTGGTGAAGGAACTATTTATAAGTAATTCTTAAAGCACCTTGCAGTTATTAAATTTTAAATAGAATTATGCATTGAATTAACATTATTAAAACAACTTATGTTGCCTACTTTACATTTTCCAGGAACATCATTTACAGCGAGCTATTTCAGCACAGCAAGTATTTAGAGAAAAAAAAGAGAGCATGGTCATTCCAGTTCCTGAGGCAGAGAGCAACGTCAACTATTACAATCGCTTGTACAAAGGAGAGTTTAAACAGCCAAAACAGTTCATTCATATTCAGCGTAAGTTTGTTGATTCATTGTTTTCTGTTTGTAATTTAAGTTTATCTACCAGTGAATATCCTTTCTTTTCTATGCCCAAAGAGATTTTAATTTTTCAGTTCATGCACACTGATTAATAGAAATGTAAAACATTAAAGAATAAAATCTCTGTATGCTTAACATCTGAATTTGCATTAGTTGCATTCGGAACATTTGATGTTTTATGTAGATTAGGATTTGGTGTGGTACTTAAACTTTATTATACAACTAAAAGTTGGTGGATTGTTGTACTCAAATTTAAGATTAATTTTTAAAGCCCTGGTGGCTATAATGCTGATTAGGGGTGAGTCTTCAGAAGTTTTTTAGAATTAGATTCTATCCCTCTACCTACGTCTAATTTTTATAAAATTCTGTTTCTGCCTCCTTGATACTCTCTTATTTTTCTCCCCATTGTTACTATTTAAATGATCACCATCTCTTGCCTTAGAACTGTTTCACTAACCTCCTGTTAAATTTACTATCCCTCCATCGCCTTTCCTTACCCTCTTCTAATATGCCTTCTCGACAAAGTCCACCAGCACCAGAGTGGTCTTCCTAAAGTGTCAGTCTGATCAAATTATTCTCTGGCTTAAAATCCTGCTGTTCTTTATTGTCTCCAGTAGTTTTCAGCTGATGGTGTAGACAGATGCTGATTGTCTGATTGTGTAAGAAAAAGCTTGGGTAGCTTGTTAAAATAGAGATTCCAGGGCTCTGCTTCAGGCCTACCTGTATGAGAATCATCGGTAAGCATCCTAGTAATAAGTATTTTTAAAAGTTCCCAGGTAATTATGAAACCCCTCCAGATTTAAGACTGACTAGAAGACTGACTATTTTCCATCTAAGATGCACATTTTTTTATTGGTAATCTTTGAAATAAGATTGCATATTAAATTGTTATTGTCCTGGATACAAGTCTAGTTTATCTAAAGAAAATTTGCATTTGTTTCTGCCAAGCATTTAGGGAAACTACCAACATCAGACCACTTTAAAGTTTTCCCTATTTGTTTTGTTTGTTTTTAGACCATACTGATAGCTTTAGTTCAGGCTACAGACCTGCTTAGAGTTCATTTCTCAGGGGGATTTTTCTCTCCTCCTTTCATGTAAGGGCAAGTTGAGAAATGAAGTTCCTTGCTGTTTCTTTCTGCATAGTTGGTTTATTTCTTTATCTTACACTGAGATTGTTACCATTTGGTAGTGTATGTTTATGCAGGAGTATTCTGTTAACCTTGTTAATAGACTCCAGCAGAAAGCTTTTTTTTTCTTTTTAATAGTACATAAAGTCATGGTGCACCTTGTAGCTGGTGGCAGTTTAGATTTCACAGTTCAGTAATAGGCAAATTCTCTACTTTGAATACAAGACCCTTTGTGATTGTTTCCCCTGTCTACTCCATTAACCTCATTTCCTGACTGCCCTTCCTCACACTCTCTTAGCCATAGGAACTAACTTGAAATTACTCATATTTGCCTGGTTATTTTACATTTCACATTTCACACTCCCTTGCATGTGCTAGTCAAGTCAGCTTTCACCTCCTGCAACTCACTGAACACCTAACTTCGTTCTGAAGCTTATCCTGACTTTTGTCATCCTACTTCTGTTTTTTACTTAATCTCAGTATCTTGTACATACCTCTGTTAGAGGACTTGCCATATTTTATTACAATCATTTGTAACCATTCTTTCTCTTCTTTTAGACTAGGAGCTTCTTGAGGGCAAGGATTATGTTTTATTTTCTCTTCATATCTTTAGAGTGAAGTGCATGGCTTATAGATGCACAATAAATAGTTGTTTTTAAATGGCTTTTAAAAGGCTGTTAGGTATCACAACCATTTCCAGAAATTTTTTTTTCTCTTAAGCATTCGAGAGAAATATGATACAGCCATTATTTATGTGACTCTGTATTCTTTGAATCCCTTTAGTTTGTTGCATTTGTCTTACCTGTGTATCAGGAAAGAGCGGGTTCATAATAGGAATTTTAAGTATTTTTCAAGCCAAAGTATCCATTTGTTATTGTTTTGTATTTTAATAACACTGCAGCTGGACATCAGGACCATATGTAAAAACCATTATAGAAAACCAGGAATGAAGAAGTTGCATGTAACCCATCTGGGTCAGGCACATTAGATACAGTAAACATTAAAATTGTGTTGGTTTTTAAATTTCATTTTATTCTGTTACCACAGAAAATAGAATAAAAATAATAGAAAATTATTTTCACTTTCATTTTTTCTCTTTTAGTCTGTCAACATGTGTTCTACATGCTATGCTATATATAAGATCCTATTGCACATATAAATTTTCATACTCCTTTTTCTACTTATATTTTAAGTTTCCCGCGTTTGAATATTGTCTGTGATTGTCATTTTCAGTGTCTACTAATTTTCTATCAAATTGATATTTATCACTTTGCTTACTTCTATGCCTATTACTGGCCTTAAACTTGTCTATACTAAAATTTAAACTCATGTTATCATTGAGATTTTTTTTTTCAGGGAAGAGCTTTTTTTTTTTTTTTTTAAAGTTTATTTATGTTTTTAGTAATCTCTACACCCAATGTGGGGCCTGAACTCACAACCTCAGGATCAAAAGTCAGATGGCTGTTCCAGTTGAGCCAGCCAGGTGCCCACCCCTCAAGGAAGGGCTTTTATTTATTTAAAAAAAATTTTTTTTAATGTTTATTTATTTTTGAGAGAGAGAGACACACACACACACAGAGCGTGAGCAGGGGAGGGGCAGAGAGAGAAGGAGACACAGAATCTGAAACAGGCTCCAGGCTCTGAGCTGTCAGCACAGACCCTGATGCGGGCTGGAACTCACGAACTGCGAGATCATGACCTGCCGTACGCAGCCGTACGCTTAACTGACTGAGCCACCCGGGCACTCAAGGAAGGGCTTTTAAACATTTTTTTTGAGTTCTGAAATATAAGGAATTACAGAAGATACTGCTCTGGCTTTTTCCTTTTCTTCTTTACATGATAGAGTTGAAAGAATCTCCATTTGCCTGCCTAAGAAAAGACATTGCATAATTGCCACAGTAGGATAGCTTAGTTCAGGTTCATCACATTGTTTCCCTGAGCTTTGGCAGAAAACTTACTTTATTACTCCACAGTGCTACTAATGTGACTATTACCCGTTTAGAATTTTTCAAAGATTCTTTTGTCCATCGGATGTACTTTTAACTTTGTATGATTTTTTTAAAGTTTATTTATTTATTTTGAGAGAGAGCATGAGTGGAGGAGGGGCAGAGATAAAGAGTCAGTCAGTCAGTCCCAATCAGGCTCCACGCTCTTCACACAGAGCCCAACTTGGGCTCCATCTCAAGCGAGCCCAAATGAAGAGTCAGATGCTTAACTGACTGAGCCACCCAGGTGCCCCTAACTTTTCCCTGTGTGTTCTACCACTAGGACACCAGCCTTACTTACCAAAATGAGCTGTTAGAAGTGAAGGTCTGTTTTTTTTCAGGAGCAGAATTTCATCTCACTCACCATACAGCCCGAGAATATGGTTTTAGTACAATTTTCTTTCCATTTCCCCTGACCCTTCATACTTTTCAGCTACAAAATAATGAGCTCCTTGCACCTCTCTGACTTATGCCATATATTGTTATACCTCCATGTTATACCCCTTTACTTCTCTCTTCCATTTGTTAGAATATAACTTATTCTCTGCATCTCATCTCCAGGATTACATTTAACAGCCTTTCCCTGAGCCCCTCCAAGCAGAATTCTTGGCACTGTTTACCTCAAGCCCTCTTGTGTCATACACACCCTCACTGTAGCATGAGCTACCTTTGGTTGTGATTGTTTGTCTTCTGCTGTCTCTCTAGGCTATACCAGTCATTGAGAGCAGGGACTTTTTTTCTTTTAATTTCACTGCCTAGTATAGTACCTAGCATGTGGTTAGGTAAGCAGTGTAATGTTTGCTGAATAAGTAAACGAGTGAATAAATGGATGATTGAAGGTAAAAGTATATACACGTTGGTATTTTTGAGACATTGATCTTGTAGGACTCAAAATTGTACACAGGATCAAACATAAGAACAAAATTATTGGGCTGCCAGGGTGTTCAGTTGGTTGAGTGTCCAACTCTTGATTTCAGCTCAGGTCATGATCTCATGGTTCATGAGTTCAAGCCTGCGTTGGGCTCTGTGCTGACAGTGTGGAGACTGCTTGGGATTCTCTGTCTGCCTCTCTCTCTCTGCTCCTCCCCCACATTCTCTCTGAAAAATAAACATTGAAAAAAATAAAATTATTTGTGTGTGTAGTGAAATTGAGGACCCATGTGGATCCAAGTTAGAAATGAAAAGTGAGCTCTGTTATTTACAACAGTGTCATTTTAGGCCAAGAAGGAGTTGGGAATGGAATGATACCAGTCTTGATATGGATGCAAGAACTTTGTTCCTTCCTTTTCTCTTGTGGTACCAGTTCTCCATAGTGACCCATACTGGTAATCTGAGGAAGTTATCAGAGCACATTGGAGTAGTCTTTCCAGCATAACAGATGGAGGCATCTTGGAGGCATGTGGTCTTGATACCTAAGATACTGAAACTGTCCCTCACTGGTCAGTTGTGTGACACATGCATAAGATGCTACCTCCATTTTACTTACTGTTACAACAGATTTACTTTGGGTACCTCAACCCAGATGTTATAATTCCTTCATTCCTTTTGGAATTTAAGAACTTCATCAAATTCAGAACCCAAACTTTTCTCCTTAAGGAAATGACTTTGTTTACACTGCAGTAAGTTATTTTGATGTTCCGTTATTCCTTTTATTTAATATGGTAATATTTTATAGTTGACATTAAGTATCTCAGAATTTTAGAACATGAAAGAACTTGAGATATTGTTTCAATATTGTTTCATAAGTGTTCTGAAGTTAATTTGTCTCTAGTTTTGAACTCACCTAAATGGTCTTTGAAAATAAGACTCCTTATCTTGTTTTGAAAGGAAAGGTCTCTTCCTCTTCTCCCTGCACTGCACCTAC